TAGCCAGTCTCCAGACCTGAACCCAATAGACAATCTTTGGAGGGAGCTGAAAGTCCGTATTGCCCAGCGACAGCCCTGAAACCTGAAGTATCTGGAGAAGGTCTGTATGGAGGAGTCGGCCAAAATCCCTGCTGCAGTGTGTGCAAACCTGGTAAAGAACTACAGGAAATGTATGAACTCTGTAATTGCAAACAAAGGTTTCTGTACCAAATATTAAGGTCTGCTTTTCTGATGTATCAAATACTTATGTCATCCAAATTAATTACTTAAAAATCATACAATGTGATTTTCTGGATTTTTGTTTTAGATTCCGTCACTCACATACCTATGATCAAAATTACAGACTTCTACATGCTTTGTAAGTGGGAAAACCTGCAAAATCATAAAGGTTCCAAAAGGGTTTGTTTCGCAGTGATGCCATAGAACAACCATTTTAGGTTCCACAAAGAACCTATCATACCTCGTTTCCACCAAAAAAGAACTGGTTCGGAACTGGTGCTGGTTCAAAGTTGGTTCAACTTGCGAACCTTCTCAGAACCTGTTTGTTTTTCCACTGACTAGAGAGCCCAGCGAACGACGTCGTTACATCACTGTGTATGTCGCCATACGTCTTATCTTTCCCAGCCCCCGACGTAAGCATGACGTGGTAAAAGAACGGTTCTAGTCCAGCAAAGAGTTGGTGCCGCTTTGGAACCAATTTTCCTGGCCGAGAACCGGTTCTTTGGCTGTCGAAACACAAAGAACTGGTTCGCGAGTAGGCACCGGCACCGAACCGGCTCTCAAAATGCTATGGTGGAAAAGGGGCGTCAGTGAACCATTCTTAAAAGAATATTTTTTTCTTAGTGTGAAGCAGGGTTTCCGTTGTCCGGTAATTACCGGACATTGGCCGGGAAAAAAATGAAATGTCCGACAAAATTAAATCTCTCCGGTCAAATTGTCCGATTAAAATTGCGTAATAATCCCGCCCCCCTAACACAATATGAATTTGAGAATAAGCCTAAAATGTATAAAGCAAAAATACACCGACCTTTGGCTATGTTATAAAGGAACAGGCTCTACCGTTTGAAAGTTATTAAACAACATCGCATGCTGCATTTCAAATAAAGCGCACGCCTAGAACGGCTGTAATATAGACCTAAACAACGAACGATTGAGTGAGACGTTTCAAATATGGCCAGGCAGGCCCATTGATATTATTGATAAAGTTGATAAATTGATAAAGTTGACGATGCAGACTCGCCATCTTCGCAGTAGTGAACGCGCCTATAGAGAGAAGTGTGCACGCGCCGACGCCTCCGTGTCCTGATTAGCATATATTGTCCACTATTGCTTCTTATTTATTAATCCAGGCAAATTTGTTGATGAAACATTGATTAAAATTAATATACAATTTATACAAAACGAAATTTTCAAGCAAAAATAATATTCGAAGATCGCTGGGTTGATTATTATTCGAAAATCGCACCCCTCCACCACATGCACGCACACATGCATTAGACTACACACCAGAGCATGTGAGCAAAGCGGAGCGTGTGACGCTTATTATAAGTTAAAACACTTAAATATACGTTTCATATTTATAAATAATATAGCCTAATGTTATTATTTTTTTATTTCATCTTTGTTGATTAGGCTATATGAAAAGGGAACCGCATGAGATGAGTAAGATAGGATTATAAGATCACCAATAGGCCTATACACTCACCGGCCACTTTATTAGGTAACCCATGCTAGTAACGGGTTGGACCCCCTTTTGCCTTCAGAACTGCCTCAATTCTTCGTGGCATAGATTCAACAAGGTGCTGGAAGCATTCCTCAGGGAGTTTGGTCCATATTGACATGATGGCATCACACAGTTGCCGCAGATTTGTCGGCTGCACATCCATGATGCGAATCTCCCGTTCCACCACATCCCAAAGATGCTCTATTGGGTTGAGATCTGGTGACTGTGGAGGCCATTTTAGTACAGTGAACTCATTGTCATGTTCAAGAAACCAATTTGAAATGATTAGAGCTTTGTGACATGGTGGAAGTAGCCATCAGAGGATGGGTACATGGTGGCCATAAAGGGATGGACATGGTCAGAAACAATGCTCAGGTAGGCCGTGGCATTTAAACGATGCCCAATTGGCACTAAGGGGCCTAAAGTGTGCCAGGAAAACATCCCCCACACCATTACACCACCACCACCACCAGCCTGCACAGTGGTAACAAGGCATGATGGTTCCATGTTCTCATTCTGTTTACGCCAAATTCTGATTCTAACATCTGAATGTCTCAACAGAAATCGAGACTCATCAGACCAGGCAACATTTTTCCAGTCTTCAACTGTTCAATTTTGGTGAGCTCTTGCAAATTGTAGCCTCTTTTTCCTATTTGTAGTGGAGATGAGTGGTACCCGGTGGAGTCTTCTGCTGTTGTAGCCCATCCGCCTCAAGGTTGTGCGTGTTGTGGCTTCACAAATGCTTTGCTGCATACCTCGGTTGTAACGAGTGGTTATTTCAGTCACTGTTGCCCTTCTATCAGCTCGAACCAGTCTGGCCATTCTCCTCTGACCTCTGGCATCAACAAGGCATTTCCGCCCACAGAACTGCCGCTCACTGGATGTTTTTTCTTTTTCGGACCATTCTCTGTAAACCCTAGAGATGGTTGTGCGTGAAAATCCCAGTAGATTAGCAGTTTCTGAAATACTCAGACCAGCCCTTCTGGCACCAACAATCATGCCACGTTCAAAGTCACTCAAATCAACTTTCTTCCCCATACTGATGCTCGGTTTGAACTGCAGGAGATTGTCTTGACCATGTCTGCCGCCATGTGATTGGCTGCTTAGAAATTAAGTGTTAACGAGCAGTTGGACAGGTGTACCTAATAAAGTGGCCGGTGAGTGTATATCGGAAAACATTTGGAATTGGTCAGACATGATTTTGACCACTTATTTAGTTTTGTTTTGTAGAAAGCCTTTCTTTAAAGTTTATTTCGTTTTGTATAAATTGTATCTTCATTTTAATCAATGTTTCATCAACAAATTTGCCTGGATTAATAAATAAGAATTTATTCATATGAAGTGTGCATTTCTCTCTCTAGGCGCGTTCACTACTGCGAAGATGGTGAGTCTGCATCATCAACTTGATCAATTTATCAACAAAAATGTTTCATGCATAATCATTACTTTCGCCGGTTCTTTGTGGCAAGCTTTATTTCAGGTGTTGCGTGATATCTCTGCGCCCAAGTAGCAGTGCTTCGCCTGTGTAGAGTCTCCGCAACGGCGATAGATTGAAACGCGCGTCCGAGTGAAGATTGCGCAACTCGCGCAGCGCGTCGTCCATGCAACTGATAGCAGCGGACACGAGCGCTCAGCTTGATTTAAAAAACAACTGATTTTAGCGCTAGATCTCTTATTTAATAGCGAACTAAATGAATGATCTGCTAGTTAACTGGATATGTTTTATTTATTTGTATTAGGTACATCCGTGCCTCAATGTTTCAAAAAGTGAATGTGTGTGAAACCATAGTAAAAAAACAATTGGTGTTGATTGACGCCAATCGGACTTTCATGTTTTTTTCCGTCTATTTGAAAGTTAGGCTAATAATAACATGTTGCATTCTATACGGCCTGATTATGTCATTTTTTAAGTTATATGGCCTGCCTCCAGTTTTCCTCAACTTGCCTAATTAAGAGGCGATATTTGACCGGCATATCATCAAAATGTCCGTTAAACGAAACCTCTGCCGGTCACTTTGACCGGCACCATTTTTTTCTAGCGGAAACTCTGGTGTGAAGGTCATTTTAATAATCTAAAGAATCTTTTGTGGAATGAAAAGGTTCCATGGATGTTAAAGGTTCTTCATGGAACCCTACATTCCAATAAAAAACTTTAAGAATTTTAAGAGTAGCCTGGTTTATTAGATTTTTTTTTTTTTTATTAAATTGGCAATTTTTGGAGAAAATTTTGTTGACTGACAAAAATATACAAACTAACTGGCAAATTTTTCCAGAAATGTTAGTTACTTTGTATTAACTCCAAACTCTTGTCTAAAAGCAACAGCACATTCGTGCCTATATATGGATCAATATAAGTTACAATATTAGTTTACAATAGTACACTTACACATGCATTTTACACTTTTGCTTGTGTAATATTGCAGAAAATTGTGGAAAAGAAGAAACAGAATGTTTGAGGTACATAATCACTCACATTACTATTTTTTTTATTTTTTTTACTGCAATAGAAAAAGAAAAAAACTCACTGTAAAATGTGGATGCATCTTGTTTGTCCTGATTCACCTCTGTGGAATTACTCCACTTTATGACATTATAAAGTATTTGCATATATACAATAAACAGAGAAATAACTAGTCATAAGAATTTCCTGGCAATGGCAAATAAGAATATTTTTTAATAATTGTAGTATTCTAAGGATCAAATAAGCACCCTTTATTTTCACAGTGGCCGCTGTTCCTTTTTATTAAGAGTTTTATGAATCTGTAATTTAATGTTAATGTATTCCAATAACATTTTCTTTTCTTTCTTTTTTTTACTAATCATGTTATCCATATGCATAAGATAAGACCCAAAATAATTGCAATTGCAATTGGATCACATATTATTGTTATTGTGGTTGTAACAGATGCATGCTGGGTGGACATTGATGAAGAAGACAGATGAGATTCCACACTGGAGACTGGAACAACCTGTTTGCATGTTTCAGGTAACAGGGGAGGGCCTTAAGTCCAAAATACACCTTTAGATCTGTAGAGGTCTGGACTTGTTTCCTATGCTGTCAGTGTATTTTAAACCCGATGATAGTTCTACCATTTTGAGTACTGTATAATGTTTAGACAGAGAATTGTTTGTTTTTTATGCATCTTTTTTTAATTTCTTGGAGGCATATCTTAAACGTGACGTACACTCAAGACATTTCCTGTGGTGAAAGTAATACTTTCATACCAGTTGTATTTGGTTTTTTCATTTAGTTATTCATTTAGATTTTTCATTTGATCATTTGTTTAAACCCAATCTCTGCTGGAGCTTATGATGGATCTGCTGTCTTTGGGTTGGTGTTTTATTTATAGAAACAGAGATGAATCAAATGTGGTGAGTATGACTCTTATTGTCTTTAATTAGTAACTGATGCTACTTAACACATTGTTTTTAGTATTATTATATTCCTCCTGTTGTTATTGTAATATCTAATATTGTTTTTTAAAGTAACGTTCTGGCCCTTTAAGTCAAATATGAATAGCACTAGACTAATCGTGCCAATTTGCATTTTTCTATTTATGTAATGTTGTATAACCTCATTTTAAATATGGTAAAACTTTACAATGAGGTTTTATTAGTTAATATAACTACTTTAGTGAACATGAACTAAGAGTAAACAAATACAGCATTTATAGTTGATGTTAATTTCAACACATTCAATACATTATTAAAATCAAAAGTTGTATTTCTTAACATTAGTCAATGCACTGTGAACAAATTTGAACAAACAATGAACGTCTTTTTAACTAACATTAACAAAGATTAATAAATACTGTAACAAATGCTCATTGTTCGTGTTTGTTAATACATTAACAAATGAGAACTTGAATCTCAGTGATCGGTTGTAATCGTATGTCGTGTACTGTATAATGTTTTTCCAGGGAGGATTGAGGATAAACTGTCAGCCCTTTTTAAACATGATTTAATGACACAATGACCTGCTTTCTAACCTGCATGTTCACATTGCTCCAGATATGTCTGGTGCCATCTAAAGGTAGCGTACATTTTTTATGCATCTGAATTGTGACTTGAAAGTCACAAATGGTAACCTCCCTTCTTAACCTCACAATATAAATATATAAATATGTTTTGTGGCACACACCCTGGAATTGTCAATACATGTTGCCTTGTATGTTTAGGCATTTGTATGTTTTGTAATGCTATGACTTTTTCCCCTCTTATTTACAGCAATGCTTTTTCGTCCAGAGAACCTAACTGTAGGATTATTGGATTTTAAGGCTACCGTTGAATGGCTTCCTGGACAAGGAAACCCTCCTGGCACCAAATACACCTTGGAGTTTATAACTTTACAAAAAATGTACATACCTTTCATAACTGACTTTTACTCTTTTAATCTATTTTCAGAAAAATGCTAGTCAACCATATTGTCAAATAGATGTTTGGGTCGCTTTTGTAACACTTTATTTGACAGTGTCCTTGTTATATTTGTGTCATGATTCACGTCTGTGTTCCCCTGTCTTGTCCCATGTTAGCAGTTCCCCATTATGTTGATTAGTCTCCCCAGGTGTTTCTGATTAGCCACGCCCCCTTGTTATCTTGTTTAGCTTGTTTGTCTGTGTATTTATACCTCTGTGTTTCAGTTGTGTTTTGTCGGTCGTTGTTTCCTGTAGCTGTCTCTCTGTTCTGAGTTTCCCTGTTTTCCCTGGATTACCTGTCTGTTAGGGTTGGGTATCGTTTGGGTTTTATCCGATTCCAGTACCTACTCGGTATTTTTTAAACGGTTCCGGTGCTTAAACGGTTCTTAAATCGGTACTTAAGAAAATGAAACCGCACACACTTTATCAAAAAATAATACCCTTTAATTTACAGGGCCAAACTGGACACAATATTAACTTAAATCTTTAAACAATATAAATACAAGTAACATATGGTAATAATAAAACCAATATAAAATAAAAATTCATATTTACATAATATCAAATGAAACAATATTGTATCAAACAATGTAATAATACTGGAGATTAATAGAGATTACTAGCAGGCAGAGCTGCCAACTCTCACGCATTGACCGTGAGACTCACGCAAATGACCCTTTTCACACAGAAAAATCGCGGACAAAGAGGACACCGACAGACAAGGTTACTTTTGATATGGAACAAATCCACAGCTGTCAGATTCTGTCAATATTTTTACGAGATTCACACAATAAATAACGTTTTTGGCTCCTTGAAATGTGACAGATCGCTGTAGCGCGTCAGTTCAAACGGCACGTGGTACAGCAGCCTACAAATCCACTGCTTCTTAGCTACGCAGCGTTGAGTGAACCTATGAAAGAGAACATCTCTGGTTACTGGTGTAACATATCCCTCAATAGGGAACGGGACGCTGCCAAGCTCCTCGCGCTGCCGACCAGCTTCCTTTTTCGGCAGAGAAATCTGAGGAGCAGATGGCGCGCGCGCGCAAACATAGTATGACGACGTAAGTGCGTCGATGCGGCGCCCGCGCCATCAGCCAATGAATTGGCTTGATTCTATATGGGATTCAGACTATCGGCACACCCAGAGGGCGTTCTGACGCGTAATTTTACACGTGAAATGCAGCCAAACCTTGTGAGAAAGAGCGCGCATGCGAGACAGAAGAAACTGTGCTCCAAACTGTGTAGCACACGCACGGCGGAGAGAGAGCGAGCGAGAGACCTTGTGTGTGTGTGTGTGCGCGCGCGTGTGTGCCTAATGAAGTTAGGCACCGAAATCAGGCACCGAAATTTTCGTTCTTATTCGGTCTGGTTACTACCGTTTACGTCGGAACCGGTTCCCTATTGGCACCGAGTTTCGGTACCCAACCCTACTGTCTGTGTTATTAAAGTGCTGCAATTGGATTCACTCTTCATGTCATTCCTGACGCCACGTTACAATATGTTAAATGTACTTACCATAGTAATAACAGTAAATAATGCATAATAATTACTTGCATGCACTAACCCTCAACCAAATCCTACCCTAACCCTATAGTAAGCACATGTAGTTGCTTAATATTACTCAGTACTTAAATATATAATTACACTGTAACAATGACACCTTCAAAAAAAGTGTAACCCTTTTTTTACAGTATGTGTACTTACAGTGTACTTATCTAAGAAAATACTGGGTAATATAAGGTAAGTACAGGGGTTAAGTTTAGATGTAGGTTCAGATTTAGTTATTACCCAGTTATTGTAATTACTGTAATAAGTACATCGTATGTACATGGGCAACAGGACTGTAAAATAAAGCAATGATAATGCTTTATTGTACTCATGAAGGTGTTTTTCACACAGGTCTACAGGAGAGTGGATTCGGTCTCCACACTGCACTAATATAACCATCCCGAAATGCGAGCTGACCTTTGACCTGCAACCTGATGAGCTCTTTTGGAATTATTTTGTGAGGGTCAAGACCACATTTAGAGGGACGAGCTCCAAATGGAGTACAACATCGAAGTCTTTCCAGCCATACGGAGACAGTAAGTTCAAATATATTATAATTTGCTTTTAAATTTAATGTCATAAATTGTTTTTGTCAAAAAAGTTCAAATAATGCTCTTCTGAAATGGTTGTGCTTGGCTCTCTGTTGGATCTTTTCTGTAGCTCGTCTGAGTTCTCCGAATTTAACTATCTCAACTGACCAAAAGGCCATTAATATTGCTTTTAGTCATTGGCTGGAATCAAAACCAGGGATCAGACCACTGGAATTCCTGCTATACCTTTGTGGGAAAAGTCCCGCAGGGGAATCAAAGGTAATCGGCTAGAATATTTGTTTCAATATACCATCACCGCTTATTATATTGAAATTTCAGAATGTCCGCAATTTAGAATGCATTACTTAATTGAAATGAGTCCATATTATTTTTATTTTTATTTTTTTGGTAAGTGTGTAGTTCCGATATCAACCTCAAAATCTCCCTACATTTTCCCTGATGTGCCATCTGGCAGGAACTACTGTGTTAGTGTTTCTGCCAGTCATCAACCCTCCTCAAAGAACAACAACTTCAACACCACCAAATGTATCTTTCTATTAGGTAGTGTATATATTTCTTTTTACAAATACAGCATAAGATCATTTTTATTTATTGGGGTCAGTAAAACAAAAATTGCTGCCTTAAATTTTTACATACAATCAACTCTGATGTTTAAGTCATTTCAACTTAAATTACATTAAACTAACTTTAAAAAATGTTGAATCTTGTATAAAGTATAAAAAAAAGTTAATTGCTTAACTAATTATGATGAGTTAAAGCAATGAAAACCCATATGTTGTCATCACTTATTGATCGTTTAATTGTTTACAGTGTAAGATTTGTTTTGGATAGAAATTAGTACTTTTTTTCAGCAAGGATGCATTAAATTGATCAAAAGTGACAGTGAAGGTATTTATAATGTTACAAACGATTTCTATTTCAAATAAATGCTGTTCTTTTCAACTTTCTATTCATCAAAGAATCCTGAAAAAGCATGTATCATGCTTTCCACAAAAATATTAAGCTGCAAAAACAGTTTTCAAACATAGGAAATGTTTCTTGAGCACTTAGAATGATTTCTAAAGAAGCGTGTGACACCGAAGACCAAATAAATGGCTGCTGAAAATTCATCTTTGCTATTACAGAGATAAATTACATTTTAAAATATGTTAAAATAAAAAAAGAGTTATTTTAATTTGTTATTAAATTTCACAATACTATTTTTGATCAAATAAATGCAACCTTGGTGAGCATAATTATTGACCCCAAACTTTTGAACAATAGTTTATGTATGCATATTTCTGCTGTATATATGCTAATGTGTCTTTTATGTTCTTAAAGATTCTCCTAGAAGCTCTGTGCTAATGGTGTGCATTGCGGCCATTCTGCTGATTACCTTTTCAACTGGGTTTGTTGTGATTTTTGGTTGTTTTTACGACACAAGGCTTAAAATCAGGAAACTCAGCATTCCAGATGCCTTGGTAAGAATTTTGAAGTTCATTAAGCTTTGTATATGTATTTTTTTGACTTAAGAATTTAAGTTGCATTTATCATTAGTTATGTCAAAGTAATTCACTTAACATTATGTGATTGAGTTTTTTGAACATGCACCTTCAAACATGTTTTATATTTATATACATGCACATTTATTATGAATATATAGGCCCCAAAAATACATAATTTAAATGTATTTAAATTTACACACGCATTATTTACAAAATATCAAACCAAGTGTATTCTGCAAACAAATTAGATCAGATCTAACTTCATTTTTTTGAATTATTTTTAACCAACTGGTCTTGGTTTTTGTGGAAGTATTAATTCATTTGACACAGGTGAAATGTTTTGACCAAAGTGTGTTTATACATATTTAATTTTGGTAACTTTTACCATTGTTGGGCAAATTTTCACGGGTGAAATTTTACTTTATAGGACGAAAGATTTCCCACGCAGATTTCCCACACTATAAAAAGTGATCAGTTAACTTAAAGCTGCAGTCCGTAACTTTTTGGGGTTAAAAATTATCCAAAATAAATTTGACCAAGTACATAAACAGCCAGTGTTCAAAACTCTCTGCTTGCCTTAGCTCGATTCAAAGCGGTTAGCTTGTAATAATGTTTTTAATTCCAGTGGTACTGGTGGATTTCCGCGGGAGATTCGAGCATGTCTTTGAGTCATTACGTCACATCTGTACACATAAAGAAGGAGTCTCGGCTAGTAGGCTATATTGCGTGTGAGGATGTTGGAGGTGGAGATTTATAGCCTTTTCTCACAGCACTTGATATAATTAAACTTATCAATTTGATGGCGGATCCAGAAAGGTTCAAACGACAATCACCAGTGACAACTAGAGATTCACCCGTTGTAAAATGCAAAAGACTTTTGACTGAGAGTTTGGAAAAAGAGACCGGCCCATCATGCGAAAACAAGGATAAATATCGGAAGGGCATTAATTGTAGTCACGCAATGCTGATGTTGTTAACATTAACAATTTGAGAACAAAGTAAACTTGCACGGTTTGACGTGATATGATAATCGATCGTTAGATTTAATCAGCGCGATTTACTGCACTGATTTTTTTCCCCTTAGTTGGTCAGAAGAACAAACGTGGATATTACTTACTTGTTCAGATGACATTTTAGGGTGAAAATTCTTATAGGTCATACTTCCAAAAAAGTAGAATCTGTGATTCTGAATGCCAGTATCCACACCGGCGCGGTGACTGACAGCTGCACACTCTCCTCAAAACATTGGATTCATCCGCGCTGTGCCGTGCCGAGGCACAACTCACGTAAAGTTGATAATTCCTCGAATAACTGCAATTGCAGATTTCGAACAGAGATGGCGACAAAGGAAAAACTGCGGACTGCAGCTTTAACTTAAAAAATTGAGGAACTCTGTTGCCTTTAAATCATTAAAGTCACCCAGTGGTGAAAATCAAGTTTTTAAATGGTGTTTATATGTCTATGTAGTGTTTTTAATATGCTTTAAGACAAACCATGTGCAAATTCATAAGTCAACACCATTGCTGAGTATTTTCTCCTTAAAACTGCAGTGAACCAAAGATAGTTTCAAAAACATGGTTTGAAATCGCTGGTGTTTCTGACGTCACAAACTATCTTGTAACCAATCACGTCAACGAGTGGATCTCTGAGCTGGTGGGAGTGAGTGGAGGCGGGGCTATTTAGCATATTCATTGAACCGCATATACTAAATGAGCCAAGGGTGTAGTTACATTCAAGCTATTTTAAAGAAATAAGGAATTTGTTTTAAATATGTCATTTTGGTGATCAAAGATGAGTTTTAAGGGATAAAATTATTGACTACAGGGGGGACTTTAAGTAATAAACTTCATGCATAATTGAAAAGAATAAGTTATGTGAACTTGACAATTCCAAATAATTATTTTTTTTCAATTACGCATGGTTTAATTACTTTTAGTTACTACTATTTTAAGGCAACGGGTTTCCTCACTTTTTTAAGTCAAGTCTATTGATCACTTTTTACAGTGCAACAGGTTCAAGTTGGTCATGTGATTCCCCGTGCTGACCAACTGAGAGCTGCTTGGTTTGAAAGTGACTTCTTTGTGAGATATGCTTCATACATTACTAAAGTATTGACAATAGACATGGAAATGGACTTTTTTTTGCCCAAAATTTTGTGACCAGACCTTGAGATTCGAAATACTTTTTGGGGACACTATTTATCTGATGAATAAACTGTAAAACTAATAAGGTTCCAATTGTTAACATTAAGTTAACTAAACTTACATGAACAAACAATATGTATAATAAATAAATGCAATGCATGGTAGAGGATAATTATCATTTACAATAATAGTCGTTTATATGTCCTTTACAGATCATTTTTCCAGGAAATAACTGTGTCCTAAAACTAATCCCTGAGGAATTTCAAAAAATTATTCAGACCTGGCAAAAACCACTAGCGTACAATGAGGACGATGTTTCTGTCTCAGAGGAGGATATCGAGGATGGCTCTCAGTTCTACCATCAGAGGGAAAACCTCCTAGAGCAAGATGAGGCAGAGACATCAAATCAGTGTTATAAGTACACACCAGCTACTTATCTGGAACTTAGTGAAGAAAGTGTAACATCCGAGAAGGATGATGATGATGATGATGATGATGATGATGATATGCATCCAGTTACCCCAGCGTCTTTATGTACTTGTACTTCAGAATCATCCAAATTTCTACAAGTAACTACTGTGAACACTTTTGTGAACTCCGAGATGGATAGATATTATGCAGAGGAAACTCCCTGGTCTTCTGGCAATGACTGTGAAAGTGAAGTGCCTGCCGAAGAGGAGGAGAAGGAGGAGGAGGATAATTTGTTGGCTTATTACTCATCAGAGAATGGCTACGAGTACGAACCAAGGCTTCCAAGGTGAAGTCTGCAACCAAATTCAAGTAAAAAACATGCAACCCAAGTAGACATGCAAAACTTGGTGACGGCATATTCAGAACATCAGGGAATAACACTTGAGCAGACACTGGCATTGAAACTAAATCTGGGGTCGGTTATACCTGGAGAGAACTATGCGTTAACATTCCCTTTTCTCTCAATGGCAGTTCAGAGTTCAGAACTCTCTTCTGCATCAGGAACTCTTGGAACTTCCATTTATCATGCTATGTACATGAAGACCTGTTTAGACACTTAAGCTAAATTCTGTAAGGCAGAGTAGAAGGAATATGTGACCTTTGGCCCTTGCTGGTTAATGCCCACTTTGTCGCTTATTGCCCAGCTTTGAGTTGAGGTACTACATTACCAAAATGATTCTTCTGTGGCACCACTGCAAAAAAATCCTTTTGGAACATTTATTTTAAAAAGTGGGTCATGTTGAACCGATTTTGGACTAAAGAAAGCATGCCTACTGCACATTCTGCAGCATGTCACAGTGATGCAACTCGTCACGTGACTAACCATTTTGTAAACGAATTGCCGTTTGGACACATTGTTGACGGACTCCAGGTGCTATATGAAGCAATTTATGATGCAGTGCAATACCTGTTTGACCTGACCCATTGGACAATTGTATCTATTATGTATTCTGTGTTGAAAATCATACAAAACGCATACCATAATTGAAAATTATTGTGTGTGTTTACACATTTACACAAAGTGGCTTTTAAAAGTCCAAGACCACTACTGTGAAAAAAAATTTGTTCCAGCTTTTAAATGAACAAATATTGTATTTAAATGGTGTTAGACTTTTGAAACACTATGGGCTGGTTTTTACTGACAAGGTTTAGATTAAGCCAGGATTAGGACATTTAAATAAGTTTTATAAACATGCCTTTGAAAAAAAAACATCACTGATGTTGAGTAAAACATAATTGTCCATCTTGAGACAAAACAATGGCACTGACAGATTTTACGATTTGTCAGCAGAAGTTGCTTTCTGGTAAAACAGCTCAAACATGCATTTTAGGCTGGGACTAGTTTAAGCCTTGTCTGTGAAACTGAGTATATAAGGTCTTAATCTTAATTCCAAACTTCTCCAAAATCAAAATTACTAGAAAAAAAGTTGGTGGTCACACCAAATATTGATTTGATTTAAATAACAGAAGTTACCTGGGAAATAAGAAACTTTGGTAACACTTTACAAAAAGGTTTCATAGTTAACTACATTAGCTTACATGAACTAACAATGAAAAACACTTCTAAAGCAATTATTAATCTTAGTTAATATTAATTTTAATATTTACTAATACATTTGTAAAATCAAAAGTTGTATCGGTTAACATTATTTAATGGACCTGAGCTCAAATAAACTAACAATGAACAGTTGTATTTTTATTAACTATCGTTTACAAAGTATTGCTCCTTGTTTTTAGTTAATGTTAGTTAACGCATTAACTGACGTTAGGTAATGAGACCTTATAGTAAAGTGTTGCCGAAACTTTTAATTTCATTATTTTTGAAAACACCCTCACAAGCACTTACAAATGGTGTAGTTCTATGGAATTCTCAGTTTCTTATGTCTCGACTCGATAATACTGAGATCAGATTTGTGTTTGGGCTATACCTTGTGATGTAAGATTCTTTGTTCAAACAAAAATGTCACTGAATTGTTTACAGTATTTGTAAAAGTAATGTTTGTAAATTGAAAATTGATATCGGCTTCTGGTACACTAACACAAAAGATAATTTTGTGTTAGTTATTGTGCCAGCTTTATTTTCATGTCATCTCTTTCCTTACTTATGTGAATGTGTTTATGTAAAAGGTATTATTATCATTGGTCATAATGCATAATGGGGCACAGCTCATCTTGTTTGTAAATGAAAAATTTGAGAGTGTGAAAGTTTTGTTTACATGAAATACTACTGACTGTAATGCTGCATACTGCCTTACTGAACTCTGCCTTTAATGGTGCTAAGGAGGCCATTTTTTATGGTTGAAGAATAATTAACCCCTCTTATAAAAGAGTCAAGAAAAACACTGATAAATGCTATACATTTATTTTTGTTTATCATTTTGAAGTTGCAAATAAATATTGAAAAACATAAATATGCAATAGTGCTACTTTGGAGTAAATATAATTGATTTCTTTCTATTTACAAATTTGGGTGATTTTAATTTTGTAGACAATTGCCATTTGTAGACAAAAGTGTGAAATATCTCCCTAATGTCTTTTCTTCCCTTCTTTTTCCATCTCGCTTTCCAACTTTTTTGTCCTCCAGTCAGTCTCCCCCAAACAGAGTAGAGAAAAACCCTTTCCTTCCATCTTCCCCACGTACACGCAGTGACTTGGTGGTGCGCGTGCCTCTTTGAAAGCCTGTCTGTTCCATTTTGTTTTCCTTTTCCTTCTCTTGTTGTTGGAGTTCAACCTGATGACAGATCACCATACGCATGTCCTCCTGTAACAGAGCAAAACTACATTTTCTACATACTGTACAGTATAATTAATAATTAATAAATACATGCAATGCATAGCAAAGGTTAACTATTATTTTACAACAGTGGTTTTCAATCCTGGTTCTGGCGACCCACCGCTCTGCACTTTTATATGTTTCTCTTACCTGCCTTTTTTCCCCTAATGAGCTCATGATCTGAATCAGGTGTGTTAAATAAGGAAGGAATATACAAAATGCGCAGAGCGGTGGGTCCCCAGGACCAGGATTGAAAACCACTGATTTACAATAATACAGTGTTTGTGAGTCCTTTACAGTTTTTTAATTCAGGAACTAAAAGGGTCCTAATACTAACCCCTGAGGAACTCCAAACAAATACAGAGTTCACAGAAGAATGTTTCTGCATTCGAGAAAAATTTCAAGGACGGCTCTCTGTCCAATGCATAGTACACATTTTCTAAATGTCCTGGTTGGCTTCTAGGGTGTAACTCTTTACTAACAAAATCCAGTAGACATATAAAAACTGAATAAGAAATAAATGGGAAGTTACCAACCTGCCAAGACTCAACTTCCTGTGACAGTGCCACCTTGTGTCTGATGGTGTTCAGAAGCTGCTGGTTGAGTGCATCACGTTCTTGCCGGGCCAAAATGATCTCCTCTTCCAAGGCACTTATGGGTAAGAGGGAAGGAAAACATTGAGTCTGTTTCTAGCTGACCACAGACTATTATGCAAAATGTCCCCCATTCATAACTAGCTTATCACTTTATCTCTGGCATGACATACAGAGAACAAAACCATGTTGATATAGATTAAAAAGATCTTTGATCCAGTTCTCACCTATAAGTAGGTTTACCAGTACTGTTTCGAAATGGTTTTACCTCCTCCCTCAGCCCTTCTAATTCAGTTTCTCTGGACAGTAGCTGATGAAAGAACAAAACATCCCATATCACCTTAGATGAAAACTCAGTCTATAAGCATGCATTGTTGCCCTCTTTTATAAGTCGCTTTGGATAAAAGTGTCTGCTAAATGCATAAAAGTAAATATCATCGTATTATGTAGCTAACCTCTTTCTGTAACCTATGAATCTCCTCTTCTTTTTCTTGCAGAATGGCTGAATGGGCTAAAATGGTTTCTTTAGCCTGTTGGAGATCAAAATAAAAACAATCAGTCAGCAGATATAGAAAGTGGTCTGCCCAATCTAAAAGGAGAGCTGGGTCAGTAGAGAAACAAGCACTTACATGATTAAAACCCAGTCGATTCACATAACTGTGCTCTAAACATTTGCTACAAGCTAAGTTGAAGCATGCACACCTATCTTTTCACTAAGCAGGGGTTGAGAGCTACCTGGCACTGTTGGATCTCACTCTGAAGTGACAAAGGGAAGCAGGTAGCCTCCCCCAGACTGGCCTCTTCTCCCAAGGATTGAACCCTTTGCTGTAGGGTACGGTTGACTGTTCGCAGCTGAAACACTGTGCTGTGCTCCTGTTCCAGCTGTGAAAGAGCCAGAGACAGCCAGGCTGAAACTCTCTAAGGGTGGATGGACTCTGACCAGCAAAACCTGACCAGCAGTCAAAGCTGTGCCATGAAACCTAGGATGCCCAATTCCCAATCTATTAAATTAGGACAAATGAGGCTGGTAGGTCACGTGACAGTAACAATATGGCGGATGTAGTACGTCTAGATTACATTTATAGTACCCATATTTGTACAATATAGGACACACTTTCAGTTTTGGTTTAAAATACAAAATGAAATGAAAATAAAAATTATAATCCCTTTTTTTATTAAGCCATTTTATTTGTGCAACGAAGTTGCCAAAAGTCACAGATCTAATAGTTATTTTTTCCCCATCCCAAAAATTGTCAAGGTTTAAGGGTCAAGGTTTGGCTGGTTAGCATAGTCCAGTTAGTCCTTGCTGCAACCTCTTTTTCCATGTATTTAAAAATGTCCATATATTCAGACTTCTGCAAGGACAATTCACTATGGTTCAAAAGTTTGGGGGTAGAATTTTTTTTTTAAATGTTTTTTGAAAATGTCTTGTGCAGAGCAAGGATTACAAAACATTACACATTTTAGGAGATACATCCATTTGCTAGTTTTTTATTGTTTTTTGATATTTTACAATTGATTTTATTGGGTTATTTGGTTAATTTGTTGTTGTTTTTTATTAACAATTGGCAGTTGTGCTGCTTAATATTTTTCATGATTTTTTGATGAATAGAAAGTTCAAAAGAGGCTCAAAACATATATTTGAAAAACCATTACTCATCCGGGTAACTGAAGTCAGCGTTATACGCTTGCTAGGAACAGTTTTTCTTTGTGGAAGTTTTGCGTTTAGTAAGCTAATAAAATATTAAAATTCAAATCAATATTTTGTAAACAATTATTTAATCATGTCATCTGTGTATCGAGGACCCGCTCTCTTGTTTCACACAAACGCAGCTGCTGCCATTTTGCAACGATTGCTTGTACAGTTATGTATTTTATAAGATAACAAACAGGTGCGATTTTAAAACAGTTTCATCTCAAATCAATATCTCTTATCCCCATAATTATTTATGTGGCAAAATGTCATGTAATAAGTGGTATGACTGTACAGTATCCCTTAAATGTCCTTCTAGTTTGAACTTGCTGCTTTCTCCGCAGAAGCTTTGCATTTTAAGACCTAATCAAATATTTCAACTTAAGTCAATATTTCTTGTCTAATTAATTATTTTTGTGACAAGTTATTACAGAATTAACCCCTTCACAGTGATGCAAGACACTGATCAAGTACATTATCCATTAATTAACAAATGAGACGGTATTGTAAAGTGTTACCCCAATTTATTTAAAAAATTTTTATCATCATACTGATCCCAAATTTTTGAACGGTAGTGAATATACATGGCTGATATGTCATCATATTAAACTAGATATTTTACTTGTGCTTCAT